TGAAAAATGCATACCTTCATTAGAAATGATCATACTTCAAAAAACAACATAAGCAAAAGTGTGACATATGATAGTATAAGTACACAAGGTACACGGTCGACCCGCCTAATGTTGAGGCTGCCCCACATAAGAATTTGTGTTTAAAGAAATGGTGTCATGCAAGTGGTCATTCATCGTTCATTTTGCTTTTCCTACTCTTGCTTGCAGTTCGGAGTGGACCATTTTGGAGGCACTCTCGATTGTCATCATGTCGACAGAGTGCATGGTTTGACAGATAATGACATGGTGCATAGTCCAAGATCCGTGTCTGATCCGAAACATGGACATCTCTTTAAGAAGGTATAAATTATTGAATTATGGTGTTTCTTTTACTTGCTAATTGAATTGAATTAAAGAATGAACTTCCCCGAGCTAATAGTGACATGCCCTTGCAATTCGTTTTGTTTTTAATGGCATCAACCATATTTTAGGACTCTTTTTTATACGTAGATATGCAACCTTATTAATAGGATATTCACAGTCCGTAACCTCATTATTGCAAGTTGTGAGATGATGCATTGCATCCTGTAGGTCCTTTAGTTTCGAAGTATTATTTGACATAAAAAATTAAGGGAAAATGGCAAACTACAACTCCGGAGTCCGGAAAAATTACAAAAAAAAAAAAAAGAAAAAGCAGTATACTTTGAAATTGCAATCAACCCAATTGATATTTGTTTTTGTTTTATGGATTGCATCCTCAGTAGGGGTATTTGCCTCTAGAGGCATGTTTTTGCTCCCAGAGATTTGTTATTTTGATTTCATAATTAGGCCAAGCCTAAGAGTAAGTTGTATAATCTAACATTATTCTTGCACTCTAAATCCTCTCAACACATTCTTCAGTTTCTGAACCCTGCAATGGAAGGAACGACCAAGTGGGACCCCCACAGCTGGGAAGCCCCCAAAACAACAGCCCAAATATTCGCCCCGCCAAAAGCCCCTGGCCGACACCACTCCACAGCAATTCCTGCCTTGGAGGCAGAGCTCAACCGGGCCCGGGCCCACATCAACGAGCTGGAGTCAAAACACCTGTCCTCCAAGAAGAATGTG